TTTTTAATCCCATAAATTATGGGTTTTATTTAAAATCTCATTAATATAAACAATTACAAATTTCAATTTTTAATTTTTAATTTAAAAAATATAGTAACTTACATTATTACATTAATGTCAGGGACCTCAATCAAAAATTAAAAACTAACAAGATTTCAATCAAAGAATATTGATAGCTAAGGACCGCATCCAAAGTGTCCCTTTATTTTATTTATTTGGTTTCCTAGTCTTGTTGGAAGACATTTTATTAGGATGATTTAATTTAGTAGGTTAAATCAACTTGGCCGGGCCTATTTTTCTTGGACTTCTTCTCCGTGCGATTTTGAGAGAGGAAATTGGCTTGGCGTAGAGATTTTTCAGACTTTTACATTCAAGGTGTTTTCGATTTTTTATTATTTCAATACAATTTATGTTGATTTAGTTATGAACATTTGTAACTAATTCCCTTTTTGCTAGGGTGAGGCCATGAGTCTTGGCATGAATATGTAGTTTTTTTTTTCAATTTGCTTATGATTATATGCATGCATGTTTTTGAATTATTAATCACCGTCTAAACTAAGTGTCTTGATGATTCACGACCATGAGGATATTTAGAAAAGTAATTTGATACAATTTTGGTCGGAGGTCGGTTCCTGAAATTTACGAAGGCTTCTTGTGGTTAATATGTGCAAGTTCACTTAGGATGAATACCATGTCTTAAGGGTTGCATGGTTTTTCAAAAGGTTTCACAAAGCTTAATTAGTCATGCATGCATAGATTTTATCTGAATACTACATACGGATTGCATGTTTGATATACGTTTTATATTGGGGGTCCAAGTAGGCATATATTAGGAAAATCTAACCTTCAAAATATGCATGTATAGGTCATAAGTAATTGGAAGAACTATATAAAATTGTTAAGGTGACGGCGGATTCCCAGTGCTTTCTCAATTTGATTTCTAAAAACTGTTTCTTTTTCCTAATCTTTAACATTGCAGATTGTTCTAGTCTCTGTTATTAAACTCGTTTTTTACTTAATTAGGTCATAAAATCAATCATTCTAAATCTTTGTTTTACAATAATTAACTGAAATTTGGTTTGATACGAATTATTTAATAATCTTTGTGGAGAACGACCTTGCTAGCTCGAACCATTTATACTACAATATCCTTATCATTCTTGCAAGTATTACATGTGTTTTTAATCCTTTTGCGCGTGTGGTAAAAAGCCTATCAAGAAATTTTCCCGTGTGGTAACCTTCCAAATGTGTATTATAGATAGTTTCAGCACGGTTAAAAACAAGTTTCTCTAGCTAGCTAGTCGCAGCATATTCGCTGCTTATTCGCCAGAGTATCTTCTTGTTGATGTTGATTTCCACTGCACATCGATCACACAGAAAGATCATTAATTAAGTTACGCACTTATAAATGGTTAGTTGAGTAGTTTAGGATGGTATGTCTGTATGCCTGCACTCAAGTTCAAGTCCTCATACCTATAAATTAGAGTCGTTATTTACCAGAATTACAGTTTGAGTGGAATTTAAACTCCTTGCAACTCATGCCCAAAACGTTTCCAAATGGCAACCTATATTGCTGCATCTGGATTAATAAGAATGTATTAGCATGCCACGTATTTTGATCATCACACACTAATGAATCATATTTATTGATGATTAGGCGTATAGCACTAAGTAAGGCCTAGCCACGCACGAAGTTTTCCACTGTCTATTTTGCATCCTTCATATGAGTGCACTAACTACATATATAAGTATAACATTTAGTCATATGTCATAATCATTACATTTTAAATGTGCCATGTGTCTAACTAATGCAAATAACACGTAAATTATGTTAGTTGATCAGAACAACGTCTTTTCTTGTTAACACAAATTAAAATCGCCCTTCTAATAAATTAAAACTGTTTAAAATATCGTTTTGTAAGTCATTTAATCCTACGGTCTAGTTGTATTTGTTTAAAAATGTAAACTTAGCTCGGAAACTTGACATAATGTATTACAACTTATAAATGTATGATTCTACTACTAATAATATTGAAGCATTTTGTGAACACCTGACGAGCTGTGCAAGCAGTTAAGTTGAAACAATACTGACGTGATTAATAGGAACATTAGCCCAATCTGAAACTAGTATCTATCTTCACCTTGTAAGGAAGAGACCTTAAGTTTAAATCTTGTGGATGAAAAATTTATACCAATTTATTCCTCCACCTTTAAAGTAAATATATTGTTGCATAAAATGAAAAATTTTGTTGTCACAAAACAAAAAGATATGCACGTAATACAAAGATAGATCCCATGCTGATGCTGCTTCGGTAAAATGAGATCGTCACACCTACATTGATATGAGAGAGCCAAAGTGCATGCAAGCTAATCTCTAAATTGTCACTCGCGCGAAGTAGACAGGGAAGCATCTATGATTCATTATATGTATAGGTCAAATCAGATTAATGATCCTCATGGTAGAGTATTTGCAAGATTATCCATGTGTTAAAAAATTAAAATTTAAACCCTCGTGGTAACATACTGTTAGCAAATTTAATCCAAAAGTGAAACTTCCATCAAATCGTAGTTAGATGCAAGGATAAAAATGTCCAGTCATACTTTTGTCTTCTACTGCTTGTCTTCTTCTCTCACATAAATTGAACCACTTTGTCTTCTTCTTTTTATATTCGTGTTCGTGATCCGATTTCCTGAGATTGATATGATTGAGGGAGCCATAGTGCATGCAAGCTAAGCTGTAAATGGTCACTCACACGAAGTAGACAGGGAAGCATGCATATATGATTGATTATATGTATATGTAGGAATTACGCCATTTGTCACTCGAAGCGTATATTTGAAGAAAGATGACAAAGCGTCTCTCCCCACTAACACACGAGAGATCAATATCAATCGATTTAGAAGGAAAATGTTTTGGGGTAGGTGAGTGAGTCTGGTAGTGGGATTTTGTGGCCTGAGATTTTCAGCATCTTCCAAAAGCATGACATGTCGTTGTAATTGCTTATAGCTTGCAAAGCAAAGTCAGAGTATGATGTCGTTGTAATTGCTTATAGCTTGCAAGGCAAAGTCAGAGTATGACTGTCTGAGAAGCTTCGATATGCGTTAATTCTTATCTTTATGTTAATTTGTTAGTTGTTTCACTAATTGAAAGGATTGAAGGAATGTGTTATTTAAGAATTCACGACAAGGTGCCAAATAAGTAGTTGACATGGCTCCGAGCATAATTCAACTCAATATAGTTATGATTGCTTTTTTATCTGATAAGGATACGAATAATGATAATTTTCCTACTATTTACTAGGTTTACGATTGCTTTCTTGTTTGTTTAGGATTCATTCTTTGTGTAAGAAGAAATTTTGGCAAATTATGTAGCCTTCTTGACAAATATGAAGTGCTCTTATTTATTTTCAATCAATGAAATAATAGTCAGCATTTGTAATGAGGTTGTTCTCTTTTTTTTTTCGTCATTTGAATTGTTTTATTACAACTAATAGTACCACTTTAATCTATACTACGAAGAGTGAGAAAATGATGAATATTGTACAATTGGTTGAAGAAGAAGACTCTATCTGTTAAAACAATTCACCACTTATGCTTATTTTCTTTTTAACAATCTAATCATCTCAAAAGAATACTCCATAAATTGTTGAATATAGAAAACACCAAGTTAGTCAATATGGTAACCGACAGATGAGTTAATGGATAAACTATTATTCGGTATAGCTTAGCTTTATCTAAATACATCATCACATTAATCAATTGGCATTAAAAATATGGATAATAGTTTATGCCAATAGTGGTGTTCTACATATCGAAACAGTTGCATGGCTATAGAATTCCCACTGCGTCAGGTGTCATATATTTTGCTATTGTGATTCGTTCTCTCAAGTGAAAATGTTGCTTACGAAGACACATGTAAAACTCATCACCACAAACTAACACTACTATTTGATTCATTGGGAAATATATATTAATAGAAAACTAATGTACTCGTTGTGGCATTCGTGTATCGATCCAGCACAGAATTGAAGTGTGAATGCATCTTATTGGCATGGTCCCATTTTTTCTAAGTATATCTTTAGGACCATTGGAGTCAAAAGTGGAAGTGGACTTATATTCAACTGCAAGGAATTGCATGAGGACAGGAACAAAGGCATCACCCACAATACCACCACCGTCACACCCAACAGCCACCACCACCGCCAATGCCACTAATAAAAAACCGTACACACGTTTTGATTATTATTGATGCACAAAATCAGTAAGGACTTTGGAACAATAGAAAGTGTTAAGTTTGTGACCTTCGCTAGATTGCTCCGGTCATTAGTATGAATAAGTATGTAAATGGATAGAGATAAGGAAGCAAACACAAGATGTAACTGGTTCACCCAGATTGGCTACGTCTACGGAGTAGAGGAGTTCTCATTAATTGTGAAGGGTTTACACAAGTACATAGGTTCAAGCTCTCCTTTAGTGAGTACAAGTGAATGATTTAGTACAAATGACATTAGGAAATATTGTGGGAGAATGATCTCCTTTTATAGAAGAGAGTTTCTAGCTTTGTTCTGACATTGATACGTGTCGTGTTGTGATTGGCTTCTGATGTTGACAGGTGTCGCACTGTGATTGGCTTCTGATATCGACACGTGTCGCGTTGTGATTGGCCTCCTGGTTGGAGGGAAACTCTTATGGGTCCTTGATGGTATAACGTTGACCGGTACACGGTAGTTTCGGGATTGATCAAGCATGGTACAAACAATTATAATTTAGTAAGTGCAAAAGGAAGGTACTAGAATATTAATGTCTACAAAGTTCGGATAGTGCCCTTAGCTTTCTGATGCCTATATATAGACACCAACCCTTAACCTTGTCTACTCACAAAGTATTTGGTTTCTCAAGATACTTCACTCACAAGTCTCAACCAACACATTACACTAAAGAATCACATTGATCTCAAGAACAATCTTAACCAACGCACATTGAGTTTTTCAAGTTTGAATATGGCCAGCACTAGGGTCATTGGTGCTGCATTCTTGGTTTTGCTGCTTGTGGAGCTCTCCTTTGCTGCTAGACCGTTAAAGGCCAATGGGGGTGGTAGTGGCGGCGGCGGCGGCGGTGGAGGTGGTGGAGGGGGTGGTTCAGCCTCTGGGTTCGGGTCTGGGTATGGTTCGGGGCGTGGGTATGGGGGTGGTTCAGGGTATGGTATTGAAGGTGGAGGCGGAGGCGGTGGAGGTGAAGGAGGCGGCGGTGGTGGTGGACACGGTGGTTCTGGGTCTGGATATGGGTCCGGTAGTGGTTCTGGTTATGGGTCTGGTGGTGGGAAAGGAAGAGGTGGAGGTGGAGGAGGCAGCGGTGGTGGTGGTGGGGGAGGAGGTGGTGAAGGCTCGAGTACAGGAAGTGGGTCAGGTTATGGAAGTGGAAGTGGAAGTGGCTATGGTAGCGGAGGTGGCAAGGGCGGTGGTGGTGGGGGAGGCGGAGGAGGTGGTGGTGGCGGTGGTGGTGGAAGCAGCCATGGTGGTGGTAGTGGCTCTGGTTACGGGGAGGGTTATGGGTCTGGATATGGTGAAGGAGGTGGGAATGATTCACCATGAACATGATCACATTAATTACATGAACTATTCCATTGTTAGATAATTTACCATCTTTGTCCATTCGTAACTGAAATAAAATGCTCAGCTTCAACATCACTTTATGAATACGTGGTCGTGGACATGTCACCCTTCGATATTAATCACATTGTCACTCCTACCATGCTATTAATACAAAAGCTCTATTTTCTTTTTGATAAACTTATTAGACTAGATTCTACTTATCTTGAATGTTTTTGTTGTTTAAGAGTAAAACTACTATTGCAAATATCTTTAAAATATTTATGTGGTAAATAGTTCTGATAAATAAAATCTTTCTCTTTAATAGGATTTTTCTCTTCAACTCCATTCCGCCCTGAATGAAAATATTGTTTGTCATACATTATGCATGAAACGTTTGGTTAGGTTTTGAGACCGTTTGATTGGTAAGTTGGATTGGTGCCTACCCTATTAGATACACACTTTAAAATGCGTAAAGCACGAACCATGCAACGACAAAATAATTTAAAAATACAATAATAAAGCACCTCCTTCATAGAAATGTGTACGCAACATATTTGTCGGAATAAAGCTTGCATATCACGAGTGTATTTTTTCTCCCGACCTAACTCTTACCCAGGATAGCTTGAATAACTGGGAATGATTTGCTGCCAACGAAACAGCAGTAGGTCACCTCTACATGCACTCAAAAATCAAAATCTCACAAAAACCATTGCGGAACCAAAACATAAAAACGCACACGACCCACGTCCACCTTATAAACTTATGACCACGCATAAGCATGGTTTCTATAATAATAATAATAATAATAACAATAACTCAAGTATATGAGGTTTCACAATCTCTCCTCCTTAAAGAAATTTCGTCCGAGGAATTTGTTAGGCCTTGTATTCTAACTTCAAACGTGACGCTAAACTTTCTAACAGTTCACCCTATCTTAATATGCAGAACTTCAACATCTGACAATACTCTTTTCTATCTATGATCATGCTCACACTTGAATACATGGGATTTATATAGTAATTAACATGACCTTAAATTTGATTGTATTCTCTTCACTAAAATCTAAATAAATGACTTTTATAATGGACAATTCTAGGAGATACCAATCTTACATAGTAGTACTACAAACCATGAAAGATCAGTTATCTTCCAAAACTGACTTGATTGCTCAAGTAATCTTCTCAATTTCCACCAATGCAATAGTAATCAAAAATCACCAACTAGGGTAAGCTCAAGGAAATTCTTCGACATCAACAATCCCCATTTTTAATGTCAAATTTTTCTACAAATACTCACTTTATATATATATCAACCATAAAATCTTTTATCTTACGCAATATGTCACAATACTAGTTCGAGGCAAAAAAATCTTTCAAATATTATGTCATCAATATTTTTTTTTTTTGCCACATTCTCAAGGGATTTCAACTTAGTTTTAATGCTCTTCCAAGTAATTTCGTCAATCCATACATGCATTGCTATCCAAAATATTTAAACTCTTTGTGAACCACTAATCACATACTAAGAAGCTAAAACTTATCTATCGCTTTATGACGTCAGTCTAAAACTAATTTCACGATACCACTGAACAACCAATATTTCAAATTATCACTTTTCTAATCCTCTACTAACTAACAATGTTAACCCATAATAATTTTCAAGGATTAAAATCTTACATCAATCCTACGATAACTTCACCTGATCTACTTCTACTATCCCATTGAATTCCACATTAACATTGATAATTTTATTTCTTAAACCTACAAAGCAAACACCCTATATAATATATCAAGGTACTGGAGTTCTTCTATTTGAGTGAAGTACACAAATTTCATACATAATTCTTGCCTACATAATTACTTTGATCATCCAATTCAACACTCACCAAACTTTTCATAATATTGAAACTATTAATTAAGCCTTGAAGATAGTAATGGCAAAAAGAAAGTATATTGACCCTACTTCTCTTCAATTAAATATGAGCTTAGCCTCACAATGGGAAGGGGGGTTAATAGACTAGCAATAATGTGGTTCAAATTCACCTTTGGCGAGAACCAAACCTAAGACCTCTCACTTATAAGTAAAAAAAGAATACCACTATACCGTAGTACTAAGTGGTTGAGCTTGTACATATAACCAATCATTATACTTCAAACAACTCTAAGAGACAGTTAGTTTGCATCATATGTCCTACATTTATTTTAGGACATAGCTGATTACTGAAACAAAATCTATCACCTCAAAAGCCTCATGATTTTAATACCTCTACGTCGCGCAAAGTGTTTTTTTTTTTTTAAATATGTATTTCCCTTTTGCTTATGAACTAATTCGATCAACGAATTAAAACATTTACACAAGTGGATACCACAAAGGAAAAAGGCAATGCAAGAACCCCAAAAGAAAAGCAAAAGGACAAAAAAAAAAAACACTTTGCGCGACATAGGTACCCCTACGTCGCGCAAAACAGCTTCACGCGACGAAGACATACGTCGTGCAAAGCAGTTTTGCGCGACGAAGGTAAATCTACGTCGCGCAAAACATCTTTGCGCGACGTTTGTGCACCAGCGTTGCGCAAAGTTAGGAAAAAAGTGGTAAAGCATCTTGATTTGCGCCAAAACTTTGCGCGACGAAGCCTGGCGTCGCGCAAAACAGCTTTGCGCAATGCCAGTCTACGTCGCGCAAAGTGTCGTTGCACAAACATGTTTTTGTACTAGTGCCGTTATAAATCACCAGTCTTATTTCACAATCATAATTTGTGTACCCAGCTAACTGTTGGAAATTATTTGAAATTCGTTTCGGTTATATTTAGCGGAATTGACATATCCCGAATCACTATCTCGTTCTTACAAGCCTTTTTTGTTCGCAAGCACGAACTCCACCATTTCTAGGATTAGGTTGCATATCTAGCCTGGCTCGATTGCCCACGTACTATATGCTCTAGCACATGAATCAAACCTACGTAGTCCTCTCCCGCCTACACCCCGTAGTATTGAACCATAGGGAGAGATATTTGTGTAGGGTGCGAGGACGAAATTCGTTACGGCGGGGACTTGGAATGGCAATTTGGAACTCATACATTAACCTTCACCTCAAGGCCTCTATATATAGCAGTCAATTTAGGGTTAAAATGTGGGATGGTGACCACTAATCTGCGTGCAGAATTTTAACTCACTAATTAAATGGTGACCACTAGTGACAAAAGCATCCCCTATACTATATATTTCGAAGTTACGTCCCTCTTATTTTTTTAGGCTCAGCAATACACTGATAAGAGGAAGCAACACAAAATCTGTAGTTCTACGTACTCGAGCTACAAGCCTTAGCGCATTGCGCGAGGGGGAGGGTTTTAACCCGGGACGCAGGAGAACAAATTTTCCATTATCAAACTTGATTTCAGACAACACCTACAGATTCAGAAGTTACAACTGTATAAATTAAGAAATAAAGCTAATCATTCTCTTTAGTCAATAAATAATTGCTTTCTTCAACATTTTCCCTTTTGAAAATACAGGTCATCTCATATAAGTCCCTATCAAATATAAATTGCTTCGCCAGACAAAAAGAAATTTTTTCCTGTTCTTGCTTCCTACCACAGCATTCAGATTTTCTCACCAAATTATCATACTCTGAGAATGTAAGTGGACACACTTCAATACCAGAAAATGTATAAGACTTGATTCGGGCAGCTCCACCACGATATTCTCAGAGAGAATGAGTTCTGATGCTCGGAAAGTTAATCCATTGCCCTCTCGGATGCATAGGATACTTTCTGCATTATCATGGACTCAGCAGCACGGATTGCCCTCTGTGACCCCGTGATTGTCACCTTCCTGCAGAACAAGACACATGATGGAAAGTTATGATTTGGAGATGGTCGCTCGGAGGAGAAGATTAATGATACCATGATTTATAATACCTGTCAGTAGTTCCAGACATGAAGTCACCCCTATCAGATATCTTTATCTTGGCTCCACTACCCTGCCAAACGAAAGTGCTCTGGTTAGAGTTTCTGCATATGTTATGAAGCTAAAAGATATTAAGGTGGTATTTATAAAACCTGACTAATCTCCGCTATGGTCCTTCCACCACGACCAAGAACCAACCCGATATGCTCGTCCGCTACGCCAATTGTGACCGAGTTACTCCAATCCTCCTGGAAAACAACAGAATGTTTATAGTCAAGAAAAATACAAGAACATAAACATATAGATAGCATGACAATTATGCACTTGCTATCAAACGACAAGTTACCATTCCATTGCATGTTTTAACCATCATGGAAATAAGGTTCATGCAGCATTTTCTACTTCCAAACAGACTAACAGCCCCCAAAAGAACCATTTGACATGTTTTCAAGCACATCCACTGTCCCGTATAACTTTTGTAAAACTTAATGTGAATTCTGAAATATTATCCACGCCAACACTACAAGTCTAGAAAATGAAAACTTACCAAGCATATCTGTTCAAATTATATCACAAGTCCCTGAACGTCTATTAATTTAAAATAAGATAATAACTTAGTGGGAAAAGGATGAACCTTAGCATTCTGAAATTTTCCTCCAGTCCCATTTGGTGGTCCATAGCTCATTGCATTGTACGCTGCTGTTGCAACAGAAGGAAGCACATATGTATATAGATTACCATGAAAACCCAAGAAGAAAACACCTTTAAGTTCAGTTGGAGTGAACTTACTAGGAATCAAATCTCACCATAATAATTTTGTAGAGTCCAATCTAGGCAATTATATGAAATTATGCAATCATACTAATAAACAAATGGCCATCCAGAACCTCTATTCAGAAGCACAGAATTTTAGTATTAAAGAATTTCATTTGATTATCAGTATTGTCAAAAAATTGTTATAAATGAAGCATGTCCAGAACCAGACCTTACAGGGATACCTCCCTCCTAAAATCCACCTACTTCCCAAGGGCTTGTCCTGGTGCAAACCCAGGTTGTTCCCGTCAATTGCCTAGAAAATAAATAAAGAGATATTTG